CGAGCCGGGGCTTGGAGAGAGGGATGTGAGTGGCTCTCGGGGGACCGGTAATGGGAGAGAGCCCTTCACCTCCTGTTTACACTTTAATGCCCAGCCAGGTCATTCATTATTTAGTGCTAATGTATTTATAGAGCATTACCAGCACGCAGGGGCTCTGCAGACAGCTGGGGAAAAGGTGCTCTCTCCTTCAGATATCGTGGGATTAACAGGGCAGTTAAACACAACACGGGCTCTGCTGACCCGCTGCCTTTGTACCCTGGAGGGGCCACCTCTCCCTTCCTGGGCCTTGTGGCTTTTCCAGGAGTGGTTTTATTTTCCTTCTGGGCCTGTGTAGCTTTTTCTCCACGCAACTGTGGGGCCCTGGACACAAAGCAAAGCCAAGCCTGGCTGTGGGCCCCCGAGGCACCTGAGCCCTCATGCCCGCTCATCTGCACCCTTGTGCTGGCCATCGCAGTCCAGCACTGCAGGGTTCCACTTCTTTGGGGTGAAAAATCACCCTGATGACTCCAGGTCAGCCAGGGAGGTCCTAATTCTCTGCCTTCCCTTGCCACCCTCCTCTCCTTCCACTTCAGGAACCATCTCCGGCTTTGACCACGAGGATCAGCCCCGCTGGACCTGCCCACCCACAGCTGCATCACATGTCTGTACTGTTTAAATGCAAAATCTTTGATACCATCTTAAAATATGCACCAATTAACTCAGCTGTGTCCAGTTCCACCTGGATCTCTGGATGTCAGTGAATCCATTAGCAGCCCTGTCCAACCTTGCCTTGCAGACTTCCAGGGAAGGGGTAGATATCACTTATCAATCACCTGGGATGGTGAAGGGACACAAGCAGGCTTGGAAGCAGAGGGACACAACCCTGCAATGCTCAGGGGTGCTGCAGAGTGTCCAACTCGTGGGGCAGGTCAGAGAATGGGAGCCAGGGCTGGAAGGGGAGCAGAACAGCCAGAAATCCTTCCCGGGCTGGAGAGGGGCTGGCACAACCCCAAACCCTGCCTGAGATGGAGGTGGACTGAGATAATCACCCAAATCCCCCCTGGGACAGAGGTGGACTGATACAACACCAAAACCTCCCTGGGACAGAGAGGGACTCAGACAATCCCCTAAATCATCCCTGGGATGGAAGGGGACTGAGGCAATCCCCCGAATCCTGCCTGGATTAGAAAGACACCGCGATAGCCCACATCCCCTCCCCAGGGGTGGGTGGGGACACACCCCAGCATCCTCCCAACTCCCACCTTGCTGGGTGCTGGACAGCTCCCAAATCCTCTCCGGGTTTGATGGGGACGGGGACAGCTCCTAAATCCTCCCCGGGCTTGATGGGGACCGCGACATCCCCTAACCCCTCCCCGGGCTGGAAGGGGACAGCGCCAGCCCCCTCCCCTCCGCAGCAGCGGAGTCTTGGTGGGTCTGGGAGCCGAGCCGAGCTCAGCCGAGCCCGGCTCAGCTCCCCCCGACGGCCGCTGCCCGCGGCGCTCCTCCGCCCAGCCCGCAGCGCCGGGCAGCCCCAACCCATCCCCTTCCTCCTCCTCCTCCTTCTCCTCCTCCTCCCCCCTCCACCCCCCCAGCCCGATTTGGGCAGCGGCGCGCCCAGCGCTGCCGGCAGAGCCGCCGTGTGCGGGCGCCGCGCCGGAGGCAGCTCAGCCCCAGAGGGGGGGCTGCGGTGAGGCAGGAG